TCACCCTTTCATCAACATTGCCAACAGCTCAATCATGAGCATGATGGCCGGCACAATCACGATCGTCATCGCTATCACCATCATCGTCATCATCATCATCATCATCATCACCGTCGTCAGCAGCAGAAGCACCAGCATCAATGCCAACAGTTCGCGTAGGCAACGTCCTGACAGTAACGGCCAAAACATTATCTGCGGAGGAATGCTCCGAGCAGCACTTTGCTTCCCAGTGGTTCGTGAATTTGGGCACATTTCTCTTGGCACGAGCAGCAGCACGAGGCCTTTGGTCTCACAGCCGTCAGTGTCACCAGCGGCAACATCATCATGATCATCGTTTGTCGCAAAGAACTGGCATGAAGTATCTCCAGCACAGCGCCGTCCTTCGCCGCCTCACCCTCCTCATTCTCATCGTAACTGTCATCATCATCATCATCATCATCACCATCAGTGACATCATCGTCTTTCATTATCATGATCATCATTAGTACTGTCCTCCTCCTCATCATCATCCAGTTCTCGTCATCATCGTCATCACCATCATCACGGTCATGACCAACAACTTCATCCTCTTCATCATCATCATCATCATCATCATCACATTCTTGATATTCTTCTTCTTCTTCACCATCATCCTCGTCATCATCTTCATCTTCGTCGTTTTGATTCCTATCATCGTCGTCATAATCAGCATCAGCATCATCGCCTGCACTGGCAAAATCACCTATTTTTTGACCGCATAGCACTGCTAACAGTGTAGTGTGTAGTTATTGTAGTGGCACTTGTGCGAATGGTATGCGTTATAACGAAGGTACAAACATTGCAACAGCTATTAACTCCCAGGCGAAGTCAAGGCGTTCTTGCACCGCTTCCATCTCTTCGTGCACGATGCAGAGGCTCAAGACTGTGGTGCTGTGAGAGTCGTGGCTTGTAAAGCAACCGGCATTTCAACCATTTTTCAGGAATGAACCAGCGCAGTGGCATCGATTGATTAGGCAAACATCGTCTAGCTGCGTGTAGCTTCAACAGGGTCTGTAAAGGATTACTGCCAATGCAACAGGGCCAGTCATCGCAATTTGCGGGCGAGGGCATGAACTGAGAAGACTGATGGTGAGCGGCTTTGCATCCAGGCCGTCGCCGAAGCAACAGAGCCGACAGTTGAGGCCACCTTCGTCGGCGGCCCAGTCGAGACTGTGCTACTTTACCACAGCTCGCAGCCTTAAGCCAAAGTTTCTAGCAGCGCCATTGTTTCCGCAGCAACCAGCACGTCAGTAGGTGTCTCCATCGAGGAAGTGGCTTGAATCACTGGTTGCCGTGAGACAGACTGCTTGTCCCCACTCCTATACCCTGAAGAGGAGAACTACGGGTTCAGCCTCCGGATCCACGGCAAGAGTGCAGACTTCCTTCTCCGGCGACGTGTAGGACTCGGGCTGCAGTCAACACGACCTGGGGTCTCTACTGCACACCTCCGGCGAAGAAGTGGCTCGTGATGGGTTCTGTAAGGCCGACGTCGCGACGCCAATCTGTGCCATGCTGAGCGCTTCAAAAGCAAAGCCAGAAATGCAGACGACGCCGGCCCGTCAACCCCAGAAACCGCGAAAGTCGTAAAGGCACATCCACCCAGTCAACCCCCTCCGTCCGAAACGATCACAGTCTTTTGAGCCGTACCCTCGTCCACCTCCGCAGCATCATCACCATCACCATCACCACCAAGGCCGAACCAGAACAGCACCAAGCCGCCCATACTGTAGAGATATCCTAGCCAGCTGCGCCAAGCAGAAGCTGAAAAGGACAACAACATAATTGCAGCCCGAATACAGCTGCATCAAAAAGTGACAACATTTGCAATGGTGTTCGTAGCATCGTAGCCAGTCGACAGCAAGGCAGCAACGATGATGGTTTTGCCGTGATCTTCCGGGAATACAGCAGCTAGTCATCATGGTATGCATTGCAGTTTTTTGGACGATTGGACCCGAGGCAAATCATCTTAAACCCTAAGCCCAAAAATCGACGGAGGACCTCGGGTCGCTGCATTGCCGGTTCCCTTCAAGGCACCGCAGCATGGGGAGTTCAGGTGTTTGTGGCTCTGGGCAGCACGGAAGGGAGTTTGTCGGGCCTTCTGTTGTTGTTTCTTGCTTAGCCTAGTGACCACAAGGTTGAGATGTGTGTTTTCGAAGTGCCTCTCGCCTCGTGTGATTTGCTGGAGCCAGAGCTGCGCTTAGGATTTCATGGTCTGGGCCTGTTGGCATGAGAAAGCTCTTAAGCGCGACGGTTAGGAAGGGAGTTGTCTCAAGGCCACAAGCAAAGCAACTCTAGCTAGCGAGCTGCATTGGCGCCAAACTGTTCCGAAATCTGACACCTGCAGACGATTCGAGTGCCTTGCCCCATGGACAGGTCTGCCCTGAAAGATGCAGCGTGAAGATCATTCCTGGAAAGAGGGCGGCGCGCTCAACACAAGTCCGGCTAGGGCTTCGTAAGTGAGGGCATGAAAACCGAAAGAACCAGTGGTGCCAGTAGTACTAGCATTAGTCATAATCCTGCAGCTGAATCGTGTCAGCCAGCTCTTAACTATGCCCTAGCCATGCTCCAAGCTCGACAAAAAGGGAGCTCCAGGCATGACATTTCCCCTCGCAGTCGTACTGAGGTGGAACTGGTAATGAGGCCCTTCCCCACTATGTGGCTGAATTCCGGGCAGCGAGTCCGGTTGAAGTCGTTGCAGGCCTGGGGGATGCCTGGGGACCTCTGAGAAACGAAGCGCCCATGTACCCCAATTGTTTGTAGCAGCAAATGCCCAGTGATAGGAGATAGACTCCATGAAACCCCATGCCCCACAGCCATTGTCGAACAGGCGACTGCATCGCTCAATGGGCGCTGGGGAACCGTCGATGGATTCGCAGAGCCGTCGGAGCTCCTGGGGCGGGGTGAGAGCAACCAGAGACCTTTGAGCACCATTCTCCAACGATAGTCATCAGGTCAATGGCCTACAGACCCTGTTGTTTATAGTAGTCGTTTTCAGAACTTGATGAAGACATGATACATGTATATTAAATATAGATATAAATATAAGTATAAGGATAAGTATACATACATACATATATATATATATATATATATATATGTGTGTGTGTGTGTGTGTGTGTGCATGCGCGTGCCCGCGCATGGGTGTGTGTGTGTGTGTGCGCGCGTGCGTGTGTGTGTGTGTGTGTGCGCGCGCGTGTGTGTGTGTGTGTCTGCATGTGTGTGTGTGTGTCTATATATATATATATATATGTGTGTGTGCGCAGTTTTCTTCATCAAGCCGGCAAGATGGAAGTTTCTGAATCCCGCAGCACGCACACGCTCACCGTTGCTATGGGCAGTCCCCTCCTGCAGGAGGAGGATCAAGAGCCGCGATACACCGTCAAGATGGACAGTGGCATCATGTCAAGAATGCTTTCGTCGTTCGTGATCGCCTTCACCATCATCGCAACACTCACAATCACCACCCCCATCATCATCACAATCAATTGAAATCATCATTATCATCGTCCGTTTCTCAACGTTACCAACAACGCCCATAATGGCCATGGTGTCCATCACAATCACAGTCATCTTCATCATAGTACCATCATCATCATCATCACCATCATCATCCGTTCACAACAGCTCGGTTAATGGCCATGAAGTCCGTCGCAATCAGGGTCATCTTCATCATAGTATCATCATCATCACCCTCTTCGTTACCAGCATCATTTCTGTTGTTTGTCGTCGTTGACTTGTCCAAACCGCCATCGTTTGTTCAGTACCACCAAGCCTATCTACATCCTCCCCACTATGGGTTGACGTGTCGGAACCACCGTCATTGTGTGCTCATCAGCATCGTGCCTAGCTACATCTACCTCGCGATGGTATCAGTGTCGCCATCATCAATGTCCTTATCAATTGTCCTTTTCATCCTCATCGACTTCCTGATGGCCATGAGACTCATGGCCATCTCAATAAATAAATCGCCGGCGTCACTATCACATGACCTTCGCCAGCACAGTCGTCCACATCATTGACACTTTCTGCATGAACAATGACAGCACCCTTGTCATTGCAAAGCAACGAGTTACCACTGCTAAGTGATTACCACACTTTGGAGTTGACGGGTATGTGCTCTTCCGCAAAACTTTCCATGTTGTTCATGTAAACTGATGTGTTCATGAACGCATGTGCTGCTTCCCGAAACTGCTTCCACCTCTTTCAGAACACCCCATCCTCTCGTCACCGGTCCTAGCGACCACCTGTCCCAGGTCAGATGAAGAAGGTGAAACGAGAGAACCTCGAAGTTCAAGATGCAAGGGCCCAGAGGAGCAGCGCAAGCTGAGCAACATTCGGGCAGTTGCTTTGTTTCGGGCTGCAGCCCATCTGCCCTGCAAATCCCCAGCGGCCTGGCTAAAGCCCCGTTGAATGAAGCCGTGGAGATCCTTTTTCATCCGGCTTCGCTTGCCGGACCAAGCGGCCTATAGGAGAGAGTCGGGAAGCGACCGACGTCTGTAGTTACAGTCTTTATACGCTGGTACTGTTCAGCACGGAATGTGAAAATCGAGCGAACCGTCAGTTGGTGCGTGCGTGTGTGTGTGTGTGTGCGTACACGGAAAAGATACATACCATCTGTATGCGTGTATGGCTACATATATGTATACACACACGTATGTGTATGTGTGTGTAGACAGCCAAACATGTAAATACATATCGGCATACACATTACCGCGAGATTAACATATAGACGCATAAGCGGATACCAGCACAAATGCAGATCAAGACAAGTGTAGTAACATACTCATGTAGCCCAGTATTAGGGAGTTTCGCCGGAGTTGGTGCTTTCTGGTGGCATGTTCCCTCACGGTTAAGACGAGCAAGGGCTTTCTTGGTTTGCTGGCGCCTTTCTGCATCTTGACCTGATGTCCGGATCGGCTTGGATGGGGGCGCGGCTTTCCCGTTTAAAGAGCTGGCTCACCCAGTTTACTTGGTCGTGCCCTGCTTCTCAAAACGGTGAGCAGGGCAAGTGGCAAAGCAGGGTCCAAGTCCACGTCCTCCGAAGGTCATCCTGTAAATGTGCTTTGGAGTTATGCATGGCTTTATCTCCGGGATGGCTCTTTGTGGACCTTTGGCAAGGAATTCAATGTTTCGGTACACTCCGTACGGGCTACAAGCGAGCTGCATCGGGGCGACGACAAAGTAGACAGCGCGAGCTACGCAGCCGACTTCCGCAAGTATGTCAATGGTTGCCAGTTCCGTGTTCCATGAGTAATGGCATTCTCACTCTCATTGCTACCTGTATCCTATTCCCTGAGCTTCGATCATGCAACTTCTACTTTCTGGAATGACAATGCTGCCTAAATGCCCTGCCTTCGTTCAGTTGGCAACTTCGCGGTATATTTCAAGATGTCATACCTCCGACTTCGTGCTGCTGGCCTAGCTACCCTCAGGTGTCGGGGCTTGCTCGAAGCAGTTGGGCTTTCAGGAGCAGCATGAGACTCTATGGCTCCAGAGACTAGAATATCGAAAACCGTCTCCAGAGGAAGTCAGTCTGTCCAGCTGTGCGCGATATTTTCGTCCCAGGCTCTCAGATCTAGGTCCCGAATGAGCAGAGCTGCAAGAGAGCCGCCGCAAAGAGCCGAGCCTCCGTGCAGAGGAAAAACTCTTGCGCTTCTGTTGCTCTGCTGAGGGCGTCGGATGTTCCAGCTCTCTCCACCACTGCGACAGGGCATCATAGAGCATAACGAGCCAACCGGGCTGCAATACTTTGGGCATAGTTGAGGTCCAGTGTAACCCACTTGCGTCCATGTGTCGGGTCTGTGGCTTCAACATGGAGCAGGCGGCACGATCTACCGCTTTCGAGCTCAAGCTCTCCACGGAGGTGGCACGCTCAACACTAACACTGATGGACAAAAGGGATACGGTTGATAAGTCCGGGAGGTCTCCTCCCTGTCCTGCGGCTCAACTTCTTGCCCGCGTGCGTTTCTTCGTTTGAACTTGGAGATGTCTAATTACGCGGAAGCACACTGCCGTCGCTCCAGAAGTGCTGCATGCTTTGAATCGTCGCTGCCTTGTATAATCCAAAATGCGCATTTTGGGAACAGGCCTGCCGCGAACATTTGTTTGAGGCATGCGGCTCATTAGATTAACCCCGCACGTGCTCAGCCGACGATACCGTTTCCTTCAAGCTAGCAGCTAGCAGCTGGCAGCGGCGGATCCAAGCATGAGGGAACTTCAGACCCTGGTTGATGCACGTAGTATGGACAAATCCGATTGATCGCCCCAGTGTCCTTGCGCTCTCATGACTGAAATGTAGTCACTTCATGCAGACATCGTGTCGACGACATGCACAAAGCATTGACAGTCCGTGTTTCTGGAGGCACGAATACCAGCTGGGGTCCCGCCTCCAAGCCAGCCGAGACCAGGAGCACTGCACTGCAGCCGCAGGCTGCATGTCACTCTCACGAGAAAACTACCTGATACGATGGTTGGCTGCATGCTTTGAGGTGCTTGCTCGAAACATGTTTCAATATTTGTCTTCGACATGGCAAGGGCTGCCACTCTACGACTAGTGAAACAGTGGAATGGCTGAATCTTTCAAGTCGGGATCCTGCAAGCTTTCGCAGGCATTGCGAATGTAAGAACCTCGGAAGCCTCCCTTCGTGGTGAGGCGCTTGGTTTTTGCCTCTCGGTCGGAGGGTTCACCCGAGAACTCCGCCATAACGCGCGCGATAAAGAGGCACGGCCAGAACTGCTGTTTCAAAAGCCCCTGCGCAAGGAACACTTCCCCCAGAATGGGTCACCACACAGCACCGTTGACTCGAAATCCACACGATTGAACACGAAGTTTCCTGACTGTGAAATCAACCTGAAATATCAGAAGTTTGCCACCTGCCAGGACTGACTGGCTGTCGCGGCCCTAGTCACTACAGTTCTAGCCCGGTAGACGATATGATTTGAGCCTTTGCGTGGTCGGAGTCGATGAGGCGAGGGTGTTGCAGAGCTAAGGGTGTTGTACCCGACACCCCACAAGTGTGGTTTAGCACCTACTTGCAGCCGTGCTCCCTGTGCAGGTAGATGAATGGCATTTCATTTTAGGCATGACTGCACACGCAAGCTGTTCATTCTCGGACAGCCACAGTCGAAGGTTTCGACTCCTGAGTAACAGGAGTTGCTGACCGAGTTGAAAACGCGAACTAGCCACATTAAGGCATACCCAACGGCGAGGTACATGCACCAGTATTTGTTGTTTCACTTTTCATGATCCAACCTCGTCAGCCTTGCGCTAGGGCTAGGGCCTCTAGGGTTCTTCGGATGCTTCAACATGTCAAACGGTGAAGGGGCAGGTGCAAACATTGTGTGATTTTCCCAACGCAGTAATAGTTTAGACGGTGTGACTGCTGCTGTCGAACATTCGAAGTGATCCTTTCGTTCAACGACAGCACCGACTATACGCGCAGCACCTCGAAGATGGCGTGTAGGTAAAGCGGCTTCGTTTTGCAAAGAGTCTCAAGCGGAGCCACAGACAAATAATCCTGAATCGCAGCAGCAATAGGAGCGACCGCAAGCTCCAGCAGCACCAAAAGTGCTAGTACTCGAATTTAATCATAGTCGTCAGAATATTGTGCGCAGCCCTGCGACGACGAAGCCTTGTCAAGATTTGCAGCATCGTGTCTGCTCCGAGACGCCTGACTTCCTGGAATTCCGGCTCCTTCACGCTCTGCTCATCCTTGTCGGTGTTTCTATCTCGGAATTACTGGACTCTTTAGGAATTCGGCAAGCTGAGGCCTCCAGCTGATGCGGCGGCCGCAGTTTCGGCCACGGCGCTTAGAACCGCAATTTTATTCCTTGGGCATTCCGGAAATCCTAAATCCCGCGCGACCCTTCACGCCCTGTTCTTGAGTTAGCGTAGTACGCCAGCGAACCTGCAGCAGGGCGAAAGGCTTATTGTTTGCACTAGCT